TCTCTCTCTCTCTCTCTCTCTCTCTCTCTCTCTCTCTCTCTCTCTCTCTCTCTCTGCCTCTGAGCTTCCGCTGTCGTCCTATTAAATTTCATGCTGTTTATTTCGGTCGTTCTTATTGCATTTGCTCCACTCGCGTTTGCTGTCGTTTGGCTATTTCTGTTTAACACCTGCTCTTAATATAAACATGTACATAGTTTATTGAAACACGCGAAATGGCAATTTTGCAAATTCTTTCGTTAATTTTAAGTCGATTATCTTTCTCATCCTCTCTCCCTCGCGATGAAAATATTAATCAGTTCCGTTAATCCGATTGCGCGCGCCCCAAAAATTGAGAATGCTGCACGGTTCAGGAATCGTGTCGCACGGTAATTTTCCGACTGCGCAAGTAATATGTTACTACCGTAATTATAATACACGCTTATATAAATATATATGCTATAATAATTATACCTTGTGTATTTTTACATCTCGGGCACGTGGCGTTCGTTCCCGATCGGCGAGCTGTCGTCAGCCTGCATTTTACTGCATTTCGCCGTTCTCGCGGGAGATACATAAATTTCGACGCCCTCGCGGCTACCACGAGGTAACGAGGATGAATTTAGCGCGCATCCCGCTGCAAGTCTCGACCGCGTTTTCGCGTTTTCGACGAGAACGTTGAAAGGCCAGTGTTTTCGCATTGGCGCAATGCATGTTCCTGTCGTTGTCATTGTCACGCGCGTGCTCCATTGCGACGTTCACTCTTATCAGGTTTTGTTCGACCGATCGATTGTTTGGACCGATATGACAGAGCCGAAAGGAATTCTCTCGTGCGTGTCGCGCTACGTGTTGCGCATTCCGTGCTTTTGCGCGTGACAGCCCCGTAACTTTCTTTCGGCAAGCACGAACAAGTGCATAGGGAACGCGTCGCGTCGACCGTTGCGACTAACGAATAATTCTCAAAGTATCTTCATGAAACCACGCGCGAAAATGAGAAAAGTTGAGGAGTCGCACGCGGAAAACTCGATCCACGGCGCGTTGATTGCGAATCGTTTCTCTCTGAAAAAGGGAAACGACGTGATCGAGGACACTAATAACTCAGGCGTGAGATTCCAATGAGGTTGATCACGTTAAAGCGTTTTGCAATACTAATCCGGCGGAGAGTGGATCTTGTCGTCGGCTATTGCGCGGAAGAGCCGGCGTTTTCATCGAATTATACCTCGTTCGCGACTAATCTCGTAACAACGACCTCGTTGTGAGAGTGCGTACTAGCAGGTTACGTATTGCTCGATTCTCTCGAATTTTTACGCCCATTAATCCTGCGTAATGCGGCGAAAGCTCGTAGAAGACATTAGCTTTACAAATCGACCCATTGCTGCCAAATTTATGTACACCTGTCTGTCTGGGCAGAGATACATATCTAAGATTTTCTTTTCTCGTAGTATATACCCAGATAGACAGGTGAACATACAGTTGTCAATAAATAGTGTAGTCAATTTGTAAAGATTATGTAAAGACATGCCTTATGAATGGTTCATATGGCACTTATACTTATCACATATGTGTGTGGAATGCCGAGATAGAAATACGAGTTGTAAAACTTTGCTCTAAATAATGTCATGTCAAAATGTAATGTGAAAATTTGAGTATAACTTTTAGTGTGAATATAACAACAAATTTATATTATTATGTATGGTGTAAATTTAATAATCAATTTAATATATACAATATTTCTAATTATATTTGTAATATTTATTTCATAAATATAATTACAAGAATTGTAAAGTTTTTATTATCGATTATCTCACGTTGTAATAATTGCGAAATTCTATCTGGGTAATCACGCGTACGTAATTAAAGTATTTTCAGCGCAGTTGATCACCTCGGGGTATTGCTCCGTAGATTGTTTAGCTTATCTGGCAAACGTTGGCATATAATCTTGGATTTCTAGAATTTCGCGGGAATTCCCTCTTATCCTAATTAAAAGTCATTATTGTAATTTTTTTCTTCTGGGAAAGAAAAGCAAGCGTAACAACGTAGTTGTCTGCTATGATATCTTCATCTTTTCTCGCGTAATCGTTCTCTTCCGCCGCGACATTTACTAATTTCCTTTTGCGTCGACGTTCTTAATTCCTTCGCTCTCAGGTTCATCTTACGGCCGCTGGGGACAGAACTTAACATCGTGGGCGTAACGTTGCGAAAGAGTACATTAAAAATCGAATCCCTCGGGAAAGCGATCTCCGCTCTCGAGCGCAACTACAATTATCGGCGAAGTTCCGCAATTCGTTACCATTTCGCCGACAATTAATCATAAACCAGAAGAGCAAACCCGTTTTCGTAATAAGTACAAGGTTTGCCAAGACGCTTGTGAAATCCATCTTCCTTCGACGCATTAGTATACTGAGAGAAAAAATGTCGAAAAAATGAAACATCTATTTAGTGGAGTACTAATAACATATATTTGCTTAAATCTAAATTCCTTATATTTAGTGTGAATATAACAAATTTATATTATTGTGTATGGTGTAAATTTAATAATAAATTTAATATATACAATATATTTATTTCATAAATATAATTACAAGAATTGTAAAGTTTCTATTATCGATCTCACATCGTGATAATTACGAAATTCTATCTGGGTAATCACGCGCACGTAATTAAAGTATTTGCAGCACAGTTGATCGCCTTGGGGTATTGCTCCGCAGATTGTTTAGTTTATCTGGCAAGCGTTGGCATATAATTTCGGAAAATAAATATAATATATTTATTTAAATCTAAATTCCTTTATTTAAATAGAATAAATATAAACAGTTGCTTTCATGGGAAAGCTAAGGCTTCGAGAAAGCGTATATTTTTTTATTTGGAGAATATTTTATATTAGTACAAAAAAGTAAATATGCTAGTTTGTACTTAACGAATAAATAAATAAATGTTTTTCATCTTTTAAACATTTCTTCTCTCAATGTGCCCACAAAAAAATGCATATTACATTCGAATAAATATTATTTATTTCATAAATTTATATATCCGCACATATGTCATAAGTTTATCACGACCATTAAATTTATTCGAGATATTCTGAATACTAGTAAGTTTAGTATTTCAATCAAGAATATTCAATTAAAATAAATATTCGATTTGCTTACGTAGAATCAAATCAGCTTTTTCTTGGACAAAGTTTTATAATATTCTCATAAAGAGAATCAATTCTTCCTTTCCCAGTATATATGAAGCTTTTTTTAAAATTCATGGGAAGTATATTTGAAGACTATTTGATGACTATTATCAAGAACATCGATACTAAAGAAGGAAAGCAGACTCGCGTAGTGACCGCTTTTCTTAGCAGAGTAGAACGACATTTTTCTCTGTGAATAATTAAAATACTGCCAAAACACAAGTACGACACGGATAATTAATTGAAGTTTCGGAAAAAAGTAAGACGAGTATGGAATATGTCGGTCCCGTTTGCCTTCGCGATTACCTGAGATCAGAACTGACAACCAAGCGTCGATCGATGAAAGCCTCAGACGAGTGACGCGGGGTCGTGATGCATGAACGACGCACTTGGCGAGGAAAAGTTCGGCGTCACTGACGTAGTAGTAAGTCGCAAGGATGTAAGTCTCACGTAATAGCTCGCGCACAGCCGTCGCGTTCACGTTCACACATCGATCGCGGCTTGTAGCCGCCGCCACGGCCGCGCTCTTATCGGTATGTACTCCGTGTTCGCGCCTTGCGGAAGCGTCGGCTCGATTATCATGTTAATCGCGACTCATAATCCCGATGACGCGAGCGGTAAACACGACGAACGTACGCGACGGATTTCTTCCCGTCGACAAGAGGACGCTCGGCGAATTTCTCACGCGGAAGAGACGGGCGATTACGCTGCAAGATAACGGGGATAATGACAACGCCGGTAACGTCACTGATGAATGAACGCCGGCGACAATGACTGCGCTCACTATTCACCACCGGCGTCGTGAAGGCCACGACGATAGAGGGTGGGAGAGGGGAGAGGGTAAGAGGAAAGTTGATTCGATGAATTAACGCGCGAGTGGCAGGGCAGAAGGATCGTTATTTTTGCAAATTGTGCCGCGACAGAATGCGTTTTTCGTGACTGCGTTGTAACGGAAGCGCGAATTTT